ATAAAATAAAACACTTTAACTTCTTCATAATTTCCACTATTAAATATTTATTTTGTTGTGCTTCATTTCTATGTACTGTCTACATCTGAGTTAAACAGAAAATTATCGTGATGGCAATACTCATCTCATTTATTAGAGATGACACATATTCATTTCATAATGTCCTTATTAAGAGAGGTTCGAAAATTGATATAGGTCTACAGATTCTAAAGGAATATGAAAGACAATATCCAGATGCTGCCAAATGTTTCCTGGGTGCCAAATGAACCCAGATCAAGAACAACTGCTCTAGATAAACCTAGATTAAATCTAGGAAGTAAGCAGGAATAAAAGTGTTGGCTATTCTTCTTTTACCTGATATTATTTTGTAAGTATTCTAAAGGAATATGAATCTGTAGACCTATATAAAATTTTTAAATTTTGGTAAAATACACATAAAATTTGCCATTTTAAAAGTTTTACCTTTTACATGTACATTTATACTTTAAAATGTATAATTCAATAACATTAAATACAATGTTCTGCAGCCATCACCACTATCTAGTTCTGTAACTTTTTCATCATTCCAAACGGAAACCCCATGCTCACTCCCTGCAGTCCTTGGCAACCACAAATCGGCTTCCCTGTAGACCTATTTTACAGTTTTACACTTCGGCCTTCAAGCTAGCATCTCATAAATGTCAATTCCTTTTAAATTTGTTTACACACTCAATTTATTAATCTATTTATTTTTACTTCCTCACATTTCATAAAGGATTTTAGGAGAAATTGGTACCATGTATGAATTCTACAGGGTATTTATAATAATCAAAGTCCTGATATTTCAAATTTATCATTGACTTAGGATTCTTAAGAATAAATGTTTTTAAAATATTCTCTTATTTTAAAAAGTTGAAGTTTGAAAATACCGTGGTGTCTAATTTAATTTCTGAATGGTCACTAGTTTCATTGATGATTCCAGTTGAGTTGAAAGCCATTCCTGGCTTTATATTGACAACAAGAAGACTCATAGGTATGAGACCAAGACAGTAAGATCCTAGGTTCATCATGTGGGCTCTAAATCCATAAGCCAACCTACAAAAAAAATAAGCAAACCATAATTGAGTCATTTCAAACAAAATTTGGCCTCAGATAGCTGGTTCCTCACCGTCTCCACCAGCAAGCTGCAGCACAAACCCCCGTGTGTGGCATGCCCCGCCACACACTGGGACTGGGGTGTGGGGTGGAGAGCCCTTTGTCCTGGAAAGTGGGGTTTGGCCAGAAGGGGACCACACCCTCACCCCCCATGCAAAGCATGTCCATGGGGAACCTTGTGTTCAACCATTCATAGACAACCTGCTTCTGGGTTGGGGTTCTGTATGTAGCAGAGAAACTACCTTGCTGCTATCTATTGAAAGTCCTCAACTCAATGGTTTGTAAAAATAAAGAATTTTTTAAAAACACAAAAAAAAGACAAGAAAAAAGGAAAAAACAAAACTATAAACAAAAAATATTTGCTTACGATGTCTATGGAAAAAGTAGTTATAATCTCTTTCAGGAATCTATTTGATAAATGCACTGAACTTTAGAACCAAGAGAACTTTCTAATTCATCTTTTTCATTTTCAAAGAAGGAATCTCAACTTCTGAGCAAACATGGCTTACCAATTAATGGAAGGGCAGAGAATTTAAGCCCACATGACTTGACTCAAAGGTGAGTGTTCTTCCCTAGAACATACCTATTACTTCATTGCCACTAAATTGTAGGGTGCAGCATGCTTTTTCAAGTTTTATATAATGACTCCCTCTCACACCCCAAATATTGCATTTAATGTCAAAGATAAACAATGTCAGCATCTTCAACACCAAAACTTGCCTTTGATATTTATTTTTTCCAAAGTATAAAACATTAAAATAACAAAATTTAAAACATTAAAATACAATTAGAACATAATTGTTTAGAAGACTTTTAACAGATTTAATGGGAACAACATTAAAAAAGAAATACTACTCAGTACATACCATTTCATAAGTAAGTATTCTTTACACACAGGATGATTGAGAAGCTCTATGCGGTTATGTTGTACCATTGCCTGAAAAATAAGGTAAGAGCGATAAAATTAGTCATATTAAACTACCAGATACAAACTAAGCTTTCTATTTTCTGGTTTTATAACTTAATTTTGATATTATAAAAAGTAACACTTGCTTATTTTACAAAATTTGAAAAACTTAAAAGTAATATCAAGATTTTAAAAAAAAACACAAATTAGAGAGAACCATTATACAGGGCAATTACTTGATTCGGTCTGTCTCTTTTGATCTCTGATTGGTTGAGATAGTATAAGCTTCTACATCTTATATAGGGTTACAACAGGAAAGAACATTAAAGATAAATCATCAAGAGTTACATCTTCATTCTGTCCTTGAAGAAATTCAGTCTTTATCTTTCTAGAAGGATTTTAAATAGTAGAATACATATAAATAGTAGTTAAATTAATCTATAGATTGTAAGTTTTTATGAGAGTTATTAGAAACTACTAGCATCCATTTAAAAATTAATTTTTAATTATGCGAGAAATATATAAATAGAGGGACTGATGTCAGCAACATAGCTGAATCTTACTGCCCCAGGAAGCCCCAGACCCTCTTTCCTGCAACAGAGCCACCAAATGATTATAACAACAATACACAAACCAATTTGCTTTGTGAGCAATCCAGAACCCAGTTAAAAGGTTCTTGCACCCCAGTTGAGCATGTAGCCAAAAAGTACCAAATCAAAGACAGTAGGGAAATTCATGACATTAACTCATCACAGCCCCTCCCTCTGGCATAGCACAATGCCATTGGGAGAAAACTCCCAACTCTTGGCTTCTCCTTGGGGAGAGAAAGAGAAGAGTGGAACATATACATCCAATGTTCTGATCTTTTGGAGGACTGCCCAAGGGAATGATTTCTATCTTGCCTGAACCTAAGTGCTGACAGGAGAGGCCCACTGAGAACAAAGTAGGTCACAGGGGCTTGGTCTAATACCAGAGAAGCTGCAGTGTAACAGACAGACACTAGGCAGTGCTCCAGTATCATGGCTTGCTACAGCATGATACAGAGGCTACAATACTGCAAACATACAGCAGGGGGAGGTCCTGAGTAGAAATAGGCAAATCTCTTGAACTAGGAAATTCCATTCACATGCCCAGACAATATGAATCCCTAGAAAAGGCTTGAGAGTTTTCCAGAATCTAGCTAGGCTGATTGGTGAAGGTCCTACTTGTATAAAGTAAGACTGTAAAAACTGGGAAAGGTGACTGTTTTTGTTTTTTTTTTCCAAAAGCCAACTTCCAACAAATGATAACAAGTCATACAAAGAAACACAGAAATATAACTCAATCAAAGGAACAAATTAAATCTCAAAAATCAAACCCTAAAGAAACAGAGATATATGAATTTTCAGACAATTAATAGAAAACAACCATCATAAGGATGCTCAATTAACTAAAAAAGAACAGATAGAAAACTAAACAAAATCAAGAAAACTTTGCATGAACAAAATTAAAATATCAACAAAGAGATAAAAACCAAGAAAAAGAAAACAGAAATTCTGAAATTCTGGAGCTGAAGAATACACTAACTGAGTTGAAAATTTTCACTAGAGGAGTTCAACAGCAAACTTGACCAGGCAGAAAAAAGAATGAGTGAACTCAAAGACAGGATGTTTGAAATCGTTGAGTCAGAAAAGCAAAAAGAAAAAATAATGAAGAAAACTGAGGAAAACCTATGGGGTTTATAGGACACAATCAAGCAGAACAACATATGCATTATGGAGTTCCCAAAGAAGAAAAAAGAGGGAAATGGTTAGAGAGCCTATCTGACAAAATAATGTCTGAAAATTTCCCAAATCTGAGAAGAGAAATGGACACAAACATTCAAGAAGCTCAAATAACTTCAATTATCACAAATCAAAAGAGACCTACCCTGAAACACATTATAATCAAACTATCATAAGTCACAGATAAAGAAAGAATCTTGAAATCAGCAAAAGAAAAGCAACTCATTACCTACAAGGGAGCTTCAACAATATTATCAGTAAATATCTCAGCAGAAACCTGGCAGGCTAGAAGGGAGTGAGATGATATATTCAAAGTGTTGAAAGAAAACAAACTACTAACCAAGAATACTATAATAAAACTGTCCTTCAAAAATAAAGGCTCTGCAGAGCTAAAAAGCTTTGCATGGAAAAAATGTGAGTCCGCTGCCATCACCAGTGTTGAGTACATAAAATCCACGAGTCTGCATTCTTCACACTCCAAGTGCCCAGTAAGCCTGTAGATTTCACTTTATGTGGCAGTTGGTACCATGGTCTGTACCAAAGGCTTCCATGTAGGGAAATAAACTCATTTAAGGTAAATGAAAATTCCTCATTAGCCTAGACCGGGTTGTCCAATAGAACTTTCTACCATGATAGAAATGTCTTGTATCTGTGCTGTCCAATATGAGAGCCACAAACCACAGGAGCTACTGAGTACTTGAAATGTGGCAAGTGAAAATGAAGAAATAAATTTTTAACTTTATTTAATTTTAACTACTTTTGATTTAGGTAGCCACATGTCACTAGTAGCTACCATATTTGACAGCACAGATACAGACCAAAATTTGCAGATCTAATCCTCAAACATGTTTTATGCATGCACACAATTTTAATTTGTTGTCGATATTTACACAAGCATGGGCTGCTATTGCTACGTGGCAATAATTTGTTGAAACTAGTGGCCACTCTCCTTATAGCCAGGAGCCTATGTTACTCATCTGTTACCTATTTTCTCTGCAGTTATTTATTTGAGTTTGGGACCCTTTATTTGACTGAAGTGGATCATATGCATGGCCTTCATTGCTTCGTTGGTGAGAAACGTAAATGCACTCTTTGAAATAAGAGCTGGTTTGGAGCAAGTCTCAGGAAATTCAGGTCCATGCTGTATGTTCACAGCCTTCTTTAGATTTGGTTCATCCCTCTGGATGGAGCCAAGAGCTTCTGAATGGTCAGACTTTACCTTGGAGCCCAGCAGCTGACTGAATTTGGAAGCTGTGGCTGTAAAATGTCACCCCTTGCATTTTCCTGTGGTTTACACTGGAGGAAACTATTGAATGGATAGGTGGGTAGAGGTGCGGAGCAAGTACTGACTGTGTCGTCCACGGTCTGTTCAGTTCTGGATTGGGGCAGGTCTTACATGACCATTAGAACTGAAGTATAGAACTTTGAATTACAGCAATTATAAAAAAAAAAAGATTGCTTATTTTACTAAAAATAAAGGGTTGGGCCACATGGCACACACAGATGTGGAACTATAAAACTGGAATTCTCTCCAGGCCCCTTCCATTTCTACCAAATGTGAGCCTGTATCAAAACATTTTAGAACCCAGGTGGAAAGTGCCTGGAAGATGAGAACACTGGACTTACATTTAGGGCTGTAAGAGGCTCATATATAGCATCCTGTGTAGGTCTTACTTTTTTGGTGAATGCTGATGGACATTGAAGATATTTGAAATTATATTCAATCTGTAGAAGACATAAATTTTAAAAGAAATTAGTTAGTTTAGTATAGACTCCAAAAGTAGTTCCTGAAAAATCAAATATATAAGCCTGCAATTCCACTGAAAATTAAGTGATTTGAAAAAAACTGAGTCATTTCAAGTGGAGAAAAGGAAATTGAATTATTGCATATTAATTACAAAAATAAATATGTTGGAAGGTTGTTCTGTAATTGCTTCACAACTCATAGGCATGGAAAAAGAGGAATTCTCAAAGGATAATTAGGTATTTTAGACATTCGTTCTGGCAAAGCTATCCCAGAAAATATAAAGACTAACAACAACACTCAATAATGCTGTTAGACACAATTAAAATATTAGGGAAAAACTGAGCATGTAAGGGAAAATTTTTCTTACAATTAGATAATATAATAATATGACAGATGAAACCAATATTTACCATTGATGATAGATTGTAGAACTAAAGGAACAATACTTTTAATATTCCTTGAAGAATTATACTAAAATAAATCTCAAATTATCATGATAAAATAAACTTACATGGTAGTCTAGACGGGACTTATCCTCTGTGGAATGCAACATGCAGAAATCTAAAAGAACCTCCAAGAGAGAAAAAAACAGCTAAGATATCTGGGCAGGGCAGAACATTATATATGAGGAAAGATTTTATCCCATTTCTAAGATAACACATAAGATATTCTCCTGCCATTCCTTTGCTTCTTGTACCTCAAGGATAAATTATAATCCATGTCATTCAGGAACAAAATTTAAAATACAAAGTGTTACAAATATTTCTGCATGCCTCAGAAACACCAGCTGATTCAGAAAAATACCATGTATTGACAATGTAATCGTATTTACTATAATTTGGGTAAGAGATATTCCACTAGTTTTGCCTATGATGTGATGTCTTTCTGGGCTTCTAGAGAATATATAGATTACAGGTTGAACATCCCTAGTCAGAAAATCCAAAATCTGAAATGCTCCAAAATCCAAAATTTTTTGAGCACCAACATGATGCCATGAGTGGAAAATTCCACATATAAGTACTTAATACAAACTTTGTTGCATACATAAAATTATTAAAAATATTGTAGAAAATTACCTTCAGGCTTGGTGTATAAGGTGTATATGAAACATAAATGTATTTCATATTTAGACTTGGATCCCATCCCCAAGATATCTCATTATATATATACAAATATTCCAAAATTCAAAACACTTCTGGTCCCAAACATTTTGGATAAGGAATACTCAACCTGTATTAAGGATTCCTGTGCTCAGTATCTTACAGTGCAAATGTATTGTCCCTAATTGAGATCTTTCATCCTAGCACTGAGGTCTTTCTATGATTTAGGTCCCATCTTCTGTACTGCTCCAGTCTGGAGTACTGTGTTTGCTTCTGTTCCTCACTCACCAAGCAACACGGAGAGAGTATGTGTTCAGAGGAGATTCAGACAGGATAGTGGGGGATAGACGTTATAACAAGAAATAAAGACCCTCTAGACGTTTAACTCGGGGAAAGAACACTTATGGGGTTATTGGAGCCATCCCTATGTGTGTGGAGATATGTGTTTCTGTGGGGTCCCTGTGTACATAAATAATTAGAGACATTCCAAATCTGGTAGCCTAAATTTGTGATCCTGAGACAGAAATACTGCCTGACCAGGCTACCCTCTTGGAACCAGAGCAGGACACAGGCCCAGATGGCCCTATCAGCATGTCCAGGAGTTCCTGGGATATCTGGTCAACCCCACCTGCAGAACTGGAGAGTAGAAGGTTGGAATATGCCCTGAAGGGAAGAAACGGGGGACCTGACCTATCTCAGGTACCAGAGGGACTTAGGAAATTTCAAGGAAGGCTCTGTTCATGACCAGATGGCAGTACTGGGGGGCAGAACAAGCATAATGAAAAATAAAGCCAAGCCCAGTCAGTAGTGCTGTGCAAGGCAGGACCAAACAAAGTTTTAATAATCAGGCAAAAGAAGGGATGGGCTGCCTTGGGTGGGGTTGGGGTTGTAAAAGCAACTTTTCAGAAATGTTGTATAAGTAATTCAAATACATGAAGTGAGGCTAAACTAAAAGACCTTTAAGTTCCCTTATTTTATTGAAAAAAAATTCACAATACAAAAATAATATGTCATGCAGAAAACTAACTAGAAAATATAGTAGCAGAAAAAAGGAAAAATAGCCAATCATAATCCCGTAACAGATTTCTTACTAAGATTTTCTTATAATTTCTTCAACTCTTTATTATGTTTTCCATATGTGATTATTTCTAACATATATATTTTTACAATTATAAATAATGCTGCAGGAAACATTCTATATAAATCTATCTCTGGTTATTCATTAGAACAGATTCCAACAACTGTAATTACCAAGTAAGAAAGTCTGAGGTTCAGGTTCTCAACCCTGAACATTTATGTGCCCTTCAATGAGATTTAGGCACCCAAAAACTTAATCTGTATGCCATTTGTGCACTAGACTAGAATCAATTTTCATTAGACCTCATTAAGAAAAAAATGCACATAAAGTATTTAACACATAGTACTTATTCAAAAAAATAAAAACAATGAGTGCTAGTAGCAGTAGTACTAGTAGCCACATAAGCAGTATAAAAATAGTACAAGGTATATTATGTGCCAAACATTATCCTGAGTACTTTATATATTTTATCTCTATTTTTTGTAATCACTTTTCAAGATCAGTAACAGCGTCACTTTCTCAAAGATAAAGAAAATAGAAATGAAGCTCAGAGAGGTAGAATGACTCGCCTAAAACAACACAGCAAAAGGCAGAGCCAGGATTAAATCCCAGGGCCTCTAGGCTCCAAATCTAGTCCTCTATCCCCTATGTCACTAAGTCTTACTGCTTCAGTGTTTGAATATATTTTTCCCTTTCAATGACATTTTAAGTCATTCTGCTTTTCTTGATTATTCTTTGTCTGCCCCAATCCTCAAATCCCAACTTTTTCAGGAGGTCTTTTATTTGCATCTTTTTAACACTCAGGTGCTCAACCGTCTGTGCATGTCTGTCTTGTAGTGGGCATCCAGTCACATGCTGGGTATGTATTTAATGCAGACCTTCAAGGGCCCACAGAGGCCATGCAAGTAATATCAATGAATGAACCACGCCAGGCATAAGAGCTTTCTCCCATCGTTAGTGAAACATTTGCTCTCCTTGGGTTGGCTTTTATCTTCACAGTCGGGATAGAGCCATATATCAAGAAATATCTGTTTACTATAACGAAAGCAATTGCACAAGAATGACAACACGTGACAACTAACACTAGGCATTGGAGCCAAGTATACAAAAGGCAGAGGTGGGGTGTGTCCCGCGGGAGAGTGCTTGTCCCATCCATGGGAAGCAGCTGCTGCTCGGTCCAGCAACTCCTGCCTTATGAGAAGGCAGGCCCAGCTACCGGATGTCATTTTTAAGGGAAGCCAGATATCTGGATCCTTAAGGAAAGCACCTTGGTTTTAAATGTTATTGACTAATGCAAATTTGAAACAACAATAACATGCATTCCAAACAAAAACATATCTAGGGGCTTTATTCAGCCAGAAAAAACCAGTGTGTAGTTTCTCCTCTAGACATGGATTGTTTGAATTAAAAAAATCTGTTTACCACATTTTTTTAGATTACATATAATAACTGATAGGATTCTTTAATCCAAGTAGGTCTCCATTAAATACTTGTTGACTAACTTCCAGTATAGCCTATGGAAAGCTAGAAGCTTTATTTCAAGACGAAATTACTATTATTAGGTTGTGATTACAACAATAAATTCTCACATCATATTATATGCTGAACATATACCCAGAAAGAGTTTTGTTTTGGAGAACTTACTTTCATGCATTCAGGAAGGTATTCTATCATTTCCGTGATTGGACATTTATTGCTTGGAGAACAATGACTAAAAACTTTAAGACACTCATCCCATCTATAAAAAAATATAAAAGACAAACACAATTCTTAATCCATATGTTCTGCAAAACCGTTGAAACTCAAGATTATATCTTGAGGAGAAACTTAAATTTACGTTGATTCATGAAATGCAATGCTTACCCATTGGTTCCAATGGAACCAATATGTGAACCAAGATCAATCTATTAATAGGATCTTTGTCCATTAATGGAAATTAGGAATGTGAATAAATTCCAGGATGGCTATGCTCACTGTTCTGCCCCTCTAAATACCTCCCAAAAGAAGCCAGGCCTCTATCTTCTTTTTCTCCTCAAGCCATGAAACGGTAAGTACTTTCAGAGCTGATCATGTCAGGAGAGAGATCCACACTTACATACATACATCAGCAACCTAGTACTGTGCCCATATTTAACAGTCAATTCATGTATACATCACATATTGAGTTAAACTACAAACTAACACGCATGAAGTGTGTTGATAAGCATAGCCTCTGCCAGAACATTATAGAGTTTGCCCCTTTCTTCATCACCATCTATTAATAATTAGATGTGTTAAGAAGGTACTTATCATACCAAGGAGGAACTAAGCCTACAGCAGGAAGTAAAGAAAAGCCCATTTATCTCCAAGATCCTAGCAAATTTTCCATTAACTCTATCAGTCAAATCCATCTAGAATATCTGCATTACCATCAGAAGACTTCTGGTTGCACACTTTCATTAACTGGTGTTTCAAAGGAATGGTTGGCAGATTTTCGAGACCGCCCATCCTGAAAAACACCGGCTTGATCTGCCTTGAATATGAGATCGTTCACCTCTGTGTCCACTCCTGGGCAACACTGAGCCCTTGTGCATACCTATCTCATTATATAGAAAAGTTTATGTACGAGAAGTGGGACAAACTATCCCTGAACTTCATTATTAAAACTCCTTAGAAAAAAAAAAAAAAACAACTCCTTAGAGTATGGTTTAAAAACCCACAACCACAAAAGATCATGTGTTACAGAGATGCTCCATTAGATGGCCTGATAACAACATGGATTTACCTTGAGGAATATTTTTGTCAACATCCAGTTTGAGGGTTTCTGTTGGCAAGAGAGTGTTGGGCAAGTTCAGGTAGGGTAAGGCAGACTTTGCTTGACAATGACATGGTGCCAGACAGTCTGCATGCCTGAACCCCTTGAGTCTCACAAAAATTCTGCTAAAGTTGGTCTTAGCAGCAACTCCCCATGAAGATCAGAGAGGTTAGGCAATGTGCCTGTTGTCACCCAAAAAGTTCATTTAAAAATTTATGTAGACAACTGACATTTTAAGATGTTGTTTAATGGCTGAAACTTATTCCTTTTCTCTTTCTTGTTTCCTCTCTGGCTGTGGATCATCCCTGATGCCAGAGGACACTAAATGACAGTGGACAGGAAGACGGGTACCTTTTGCTCCTGATGGCTGTAAGAACCACCTCCTTCCTCTTATTGTGGAATGCGAGGTGCAAAAACGAGGCCTGCTGCTTGTTCAGGACTATGTCAGCATCGCGGCTCAGGAGCAGCCCGACAGCTTTGGCCTGGCCTTCCCTGGCAGCAAAGTGAAGCGCCGTGTTCTTTGAGAGAAAGCAGACACAGAAACGTGGGGACAATGGGTAATCGGCCGTGGGCCATTTCACTGCCTTGTCTCATTGTTGAAGTGCTTAAAAGAAATTATCAACAACACTAACTATTCAATATGAAAACACATAAAATTTAAAACCAATGTTCAGAATCGAGCTTCGAAATAATGAGTTTATAATGGACACATGGCGTGTGGTGGCCGGGGAGGTGGGTCTGTGCGTGTGTGTGCGAATCCCAGGGGTGGTTCTGCATTGCATTTGCAAGGGATGATTCCACAAGACAAAGAACAAGCTTTCAGGGTGAGGATGGTGGAGTGAACAAAGCAGAAAGTACTCCTGAGAGATTTATGGCCTAGTAGAGCAGTGGTTCACAGATTCAGGGTTTTAGGAGCTTATAAAATTTTTAAAAAATCAGAAAATATTATAAGGTTGCCAATTTTTAAGTTTTGCCATGTAAAGACCTTTTTTAAAGCAACAACAATCTTCTATCTCCATCATTTCATGAACAAGTGTCCATGTTAATACTTACTCCCCAAAAAAGGAAGAAGGACATGATAGCTAATAAAGGTCGGTCCTTCAAATCAACACACTTCCAACTAATATTAATAAAAACTCACTCCTGCCCTCTTCATTTCTCCAGGTTCACCAGGGAATTAAAACTTTACCACCGAACAGCAATGGCCTGTGGACCGGCCTCCATGAGACTGGGGGTGTCCTCAACATCCACCCTGCCTTGGTATTCTTCTATTTCTGTTCCCCTTTTACTCGTTTCTCACTCCAAGAGTCTGCTTGTTAAAAACCCAACAAAAGGCTGGGACTACAGCAAGGAAGGGAAGAAGGTGGCTAAGAAGGCGGCTCCCCTGCTACTTTGGAAGTTTCTGCCATGTTCCGATTTGCAGTAAGTATGAGGACCCCGCTACGTACCCCATCTTCATCTAGCCGATCTGTGCACTTCAAATTAGTGTCAAGAATGACCTTCATGGTCTGGGTGTACCCGCCCATGGCCGCGTGGTGCAAAGCAGTCCAGCCATTGTGGTCACTGGCAAAGAGTTAAGAAAAGATGTGTGAATACACAGTACAGACGAAATGTGGGGAATCCTCCACTTGGCTCATTCTAGGTAAGTCCGATGACAAACAAAACAAGCATAATTGAGCTGTGGCAACTAAATATTTATTATATATTTATAATAAATGAGCTTATTTCAAGCTCAATAATCTCAAATGATCTATCCATAATGTGGTTCACACATATTTTTTATTTAGTGGCTTAAAATATAAAAGTATATTTACATACATGTTCATATGTTGCATGTGTTTACATTACCAAACACTTGGGGATGGGAGAAAGTAGACTTATCATATTTTTTCCAAAGCTATAATACACTTATACACACCATTTTAAATCTTGTCTCATTTTTTCATTGAAAATTGAAAAATCTATTACTGTGGTGGTATTTGCCTTTAAGGTCAATAGATATTGCTAATAATAATAACAGCTTAGTGTCACTTATTCTTGTAAGAGTTTAGGTGTGAAAAAACTTTACTCCCATGCTCTCAAAGATGCTTCCTCAATCCCTTTGAAAAATGCTTACGCTTTCTCGCAGAAATTCAAGATGTAAATATACTGAAGCCTTGTCATATTAGCAATGCTTTTCTGATTGAGACATAGAAAAAAATCCTGACACAATTTAATTTCAGTTCTAGTGAGCAGCTGTTTTAGGATGTAAAAGCCACCTCACTGTTTCAGTTATGATGTAGCTGAGTAACAACTGTGTGGCCTGGGTCCACTTGGGCCCCTTTGCAGGTCTGCTGCTTGGTGTCCCCTTGTAAGAGGGAGGGAACTGAGCAAAGTATGGATTTTGCAACCCCGTCTCTAATTTGTGGCATCAGTACGGATCAGTACAGAAATGTGTTTTCGAGCATGAGCCTAATGAGCTCTTTGCTACCGCCTCTGTGAAATCAGAAGACAGATCAGTGCACCTCTATAAAATATTTGCAGGTTTTTTTCCATTCACAACAATGCTGTTTAATTATGCCACGTATTTTATTAAGCTTATATATTTTAACTTGGCTTTCTTTCTTGCATTAGAGTTCTTCTAATTATAATAAAGTTCGGGAATTTTTAATGTCTCCTGTTGTCACTTAAAGGGAGCTTTTTGTGTCCATGATTCATCAGATTGAATAAAAAGTAGTGTCTTGGGACTCGTATGGTTTTGTGTGTGTGTGTACGTGTATGTCTACATACATGTGTATGTCTACACGTACACACACATACACACACAGCCACGGTTTTTATTTACATAGGCAGACGGCAGCATGATGAAGTAAAATATGAGGAGCTGTATTTCAAAGATTCCAAGAAATATTCTGTGCAAAGCCACTTACTCTGTGAGCTTGACCAAGACTCTTCTACTCTATAAACGTCAATGTCTTCATTTGTCAATTGGGAATAACACTGACTTCCATTTCAATATTTGAGAAGTTATATATGTTTTGAGTATTAAATAAGATGGATAAAAGTACTTAGTGAGATATACAGTTATAATAGATATCAAAATTTAAGATATAATGGGAAAACAGCCTGAAATGGCTAATCAAACAGAATGTATAAACATTCCAATCATATATCCTCACCTGAGAAATAATGCACCTTTTTTCAGAAGAAGTTGAACTACTTTATCATGTCCGTTTTTTGCTGCCAGGTGGAGAGGAGTCATTCCATGAAGATCACCTTCATTCAAAAGCCTGGTATCACTGATGTCTTGTAGGAGCCTCTGACAGGTATTGATACGCCCATAACTTGGAAAAAATTAGGTTCATATTTTCAAAGCAAATATTAAACAGAAAGAAGACATGCCCATATGTTGCACAGACTGCCCCTTACCTGGCTGCAAAATGCAGGGGTGATTTCTTATCTTTGCTTTTGGAATGGATGGACACATTAAAGTCAAGTAGGTTATTTACAGAGACAGGGACCCCCTCTCTACATGCGTAATGTAGAGGAGTACACCCATCATTGTCTTCATCCATTACCAGCTCTTTAATATGTTGCATCTGTGGGAAAAATTAATATTCTACATATAATTCTGCTATTATGCTAGTATGATGTTTTTCAAACCATTCCATAGGACAGTATTTTCCAGCAAGGGTCAATATGTATTTCTTGGGAGCAAAATGTAAATAACCTAAAGGGTCCTACTAGAGTAAAATAAATGTGGATGGAGCTGAATGTTCTATCTCCCTATAATATACCTTATACCATTTTAAAGCCTCTGAGATATCCTGCAAGTAGGAAAATGTACCTAATCCAGCATTTTCCAAACATCCGACCACAGCCCCTCCTCTGTGCCTCCTCTCATTCCTCCATCAATAACACCCAAGAGTTTAATGCTAATGTGTTCTGTTAGTCAAAATGGATGAGATGTTGAAATTAGGTTTACTTTATCTTTTATAAGTATATTAAATAAAAAATGAATGACACATCAGTAGCTTAATCCAATCAACATTTTGATGTTTTCTTTAAAATATTCAGATACATATATTCTTGATTATTAAAGGCAGTGACAATATTAAAATCTATTTACTATGAAAATATGGTGTGCTTCACATGCACGTGATAGTCACTCAGTAAGTATTAGCTGGTGAATATAAATATGGAAATAATGCTTTTGACCTGTCAACAAGTCAAATATGCCAAGTAATTTTTCTTAATTGATGGAAGAGTATTGCTAATTCACTCACATACTTGGCTTTTCCACTGACGCGCAAATCATAATGGTCAAAGTGAAGGAAATCAAACCAATTAAGGATGTATCTTTATTATTGCTGGTGGTTATTATTATCATCATCATCACCATCATGTTGTAACTAAATATTCGATTATGTCATCTTTATTTTCAAACATTTTTAAAGTTCTAGAATCAGCTTTCACAATAAGAAATATTATTATATAATAAAAAATATCAGTTTATTCTCTGTTGAACCCAACTCAGTTTATGAAAATCCACAGATATATATTACCTGCATAAACTCAGGTCGCAAATTTTTTAATCCATAAGGTTGCTGTACAGTCAAATGCAAAAAATTACGCCCATAATGATCTTTTATGTCTACACGGGCACCTAAAAAAAGCACAATACAAATATAAATTCTACTCATTTATTTAAAGCATGGTCTATGGTGCATTTTCATCTTAATAAAAAATTTTTAATTAAAACATTGACAATCTTTAATTTTCAGGAAATTTTATTTAGATGAGAAAACTGAACATCTTTTAAAATGAGTTTATCTTACTCTGTGTGTGTGTAAGTAGGGTAGCGAATATGTGAAGCATGACATTAATATATGAGGCCTTACCTTTTAAAGCATAAAATATAAATATGGAGGGATTCAAGATTAAGAAAGGAGGGTATAAGAGAAGGAAACCTTGCTTTTTTGTTTTAATATCATAGCACCAGGTAGTATCTAGAATGGGAACAGTTACAACACCTACACCACATAGGACTGATTCATTGAAAGAAAGTTGACAGGATGTTCAGCAAAATGACTGGGGAATAACAAACACTTTATAAATGTTACTTGTTGTTGTTCTGAAATTATCTTTTAAAATATTGCTGCCTTACTGGACTGAAAATTATTCTAGACACAGAAAGCATTCTGTTTATCTTTGTATTCATAGCACCTTGTCCAGTACCTGGCACACAATAGATGGTTAATAAATGTTTATCTAACCAAATTGAGTAGTAATTCCAAAGGCACGGCTTGGTCCCCCTTGGTACCTTTAGAGAGTAGCAAATTTACGATATTCCAAGATGCAGAAGCAGTTGCTAGTATAAGTGGAGAGCGTCCTTCACAATCGATACTGTTAATATCTGCTCCCTAAAATAAAACAAGTCATTTAAGAAAGAGCTTACAAACAGATAATCAGCTTACATCGCAATCTTTAAAAACATTATTTCATTGAGAAAGAGTGTCTATATCATGGCTAGCACTAACATATAAAATTAATTATAGAATTACTTGAAACGTCCCTATAATTTATATGTTATAACATAAGAAATCAAGGCATTCTTTTGTAATTTCAACTATGTGATTATTCTCATGTTAGGCTTTTTACTGACATCTGGCAATAGCTGTATCATATATAATATTACCTAAACCATAAAAATAATATCCTTTGACCTAGAACAATAGTTTAGTCTCACTATAAAAAATGAATTTTAAATGTCCATAATTTTAAAAGTCTTCCAAATTTATTGCATGTGGGATTTAACAAACATTCACCAGAAAACATTCACTTTTTAAAAAATTGGCTTCATCTGAAATAGACAAACTGAAACAACTGCATTGAAATCATTCAAATTCCAAAGTAAAATTTTAGTATAACATTTATTTAAGAAAATTTGAATTTAAAAATCACATTATATGTTTATATATATATTTTAAAAATGAATAAGTCAATATTAATGATTATGTGCTATGGTTATAATATTTGATATGAGAAGAAATCAGAGGCTTTTTAAAATTTCCTGGAAAGAATTCTATACTTTGGACAGAGTAATAAAAATAGCTTCAACTCTGTGGATATTTCCCTATTCTTTTGGGACCTGTTGAATATAAATGACGATGGCAGCGGTGTCCCCTTTGCACACTGTGTGGTGGTCAGTGAGTTTCTGCCACAGTTCTCTTGGCAGGTGAAGATTTGGCTGCCTTTGCAGGAAACCATGCATGGCATGAACTATGGTATACAACGAGTCTCTCCAGAATTCTTCTATGTAAGTATCACAATTTCAATAGTTGCCATGGACAACATACACATATTCGATAATGCAAATGGAACTATTACATATATTCTTTGCTGATATGGTAGGGTTTAAATAAATCCACCATACATTCATCTGTATAAAGAGCTTATTAAAATCTAACTCAAAAGTTGACTGATTCCATTTCTTAAGTGAAAAAATCTTCACTTTCACTTGTAATAAACCTTGAACAACATTTTTCAATTCCTCAGTTTTTCATTGTTTGGAAGGTGACGCTGAGGCAATTAGGGTGGAAGCTCAGCCCACATGGTGCCCATCCTGCCTCCACCTCAAAGCCACTGGGGCTGAAGAAGGCTGGTGGAGTCGCCCAAGTCCACAGTCCCATAGCACCTACTCACAGGACGTTGGAAGAGCTTGCCTTGCAATGCACCCACAAACTCCCCATGCTACAACCACTTAGATGGGTATCCAAAGTACACTTTAGCACTTCTAATTCACAGTAATAAAGTTTGGCTGTTACATATTCATATGCAATATATTCTATTTGCAAATGCGTCAATCATCCTTTTATAAGCTTCTTTTGCTGATAAGCAAGAAATTAAAATTGGCTTTATGTTTGAAAGTCCATAGCATGTAATTATATGGTTTTTCAATACAAATAGTAATAAAAAATAAACCAATAAATGGAATAGTTACCACTGAAATTAAGTAGTCTGCTAGTTCATGGTGATCAAATAATGAAGCTCTACAAAAAGAGAATTATAAACATTATAATTAAAGTACTATGG